AGCACTGTATAAACTGTGTGTAGCCCCAGCAACATATAGTACATCGTACTGTTTTCCAACAGTACAGAGAGTTCCTGTCTCATCCTCAGAACAAAATCAAGTCAGGAGCAGCACTTCTCAGCCATTCATGGGAAGCCTTGTATGTTTATCAGTGAACAGTTCAGGTGGAAACATCACAATCTCAACATTAGCCAATAACCGGACGCCTTGTATACATACAAGGCTTCCTGTGAATGGCTGAGCAGTGCTGAGCCTGCTCAGAAATGAATTAGCATGAGTGCCCCCATAGCAAGCAGCTTGCTATGGGGGCACTTGGAAAGGAGGAGGGGGCAGGAGCGCCTAGAAAAAAGCTCATGTACTTTAGAACAACAGACATTTTGCTACAGGTGAAACAGCACTCAGATGAGAGCAGGGGCCTTTGAAATGAATGGGATTTTGCTTGCAGAGCTTCACATTCACACCTGAGCTTTGAGCTACAAAATTTTCAGGTATGAATGTGGCCTAATACAGGGCTTTCAAGATAATTTGGGACATTAGGGATTCTTCCACAGGGAATGGTAAAGATCAAGCCGAGAAATTCTCCTCTTAGGCTACATGCACACTAAGCATATAGCCCACGTGCATCTAATTCCAATATTTTAGTCCAACCAGGAGGCACAGTAGGCCTTCTGATAGGCTGCAGGCACGGGGCTGGATGCTGCACTTGTGCCTGCCAGGTGACTAAAACGCTTGAACTAAATAGGCTAAATGCTTAGTGTACACGTAGTCTTAAGCTGGCCATACACCATTGGAATTTTGTTCATACAGAAATGATGAAAAATATTGAGCCAACTAATTTCATTCAAAAGCCCTTAAAACAGGGCAGCACAGTGGCCAAGTGGTTAGCACTTTAGCCAGACAGCACTAGAGTCATCGGTTTGAATCCCAACTATGGCACTACCTGCATAGAGTTTGTTTGTTCTCTCTGTGCTTGTGTGGGTTTTCTCCGTGTACTGCGGTTTCCTCCCACACTCCAAAGACATGCTGGTAGGTTAATTGGTTCCTGTCTAAATTGGCCCTAGTATGTGTATGTATGAATATTATTATTTCAGCTTTATTGGGTATCTATTAGGGACCTTAGATTGTAAGCTCCTTGAGCATTAGGGACTAATGTGGATGTACAATATATGTATGTAAGACACTCCGTAAATCGACAGCACTATATAAGTACCTGAAATAAATACATTTCATCCAGACCTGCTAACTGAATGGCTTCCCAGATATATTAAGCAGCTGTGCCATACTCTTTCCATTTTCGGATGATGAATTGAAGAGTGCTCCGTGAGATGTTCAAAGCTTCGGATATTATTTTATAACCCAACCCTGCTTGAAACTTCTCTAAAACTTTATCCCTGACCTGTTTGCTGTGTTCCTTGGCCTTCACGATGCTGTTTGTCCACTAATATTCTTTAACAGACCTCTGAGGGCTTCACAGAACAGCTGTATTTATACCGAGATTAAATTACACACAGGCAGCTGTATTTATACTGAGATTAAATTACACACTGGTGGACTCTATTTACTAATTAGGTGATTCCTGAAGGCAATTGGTTCCACTAGATTTTAGTTAGGGGTATCAGAGTAAAGGAGACTGAATACAAATGCACGCCACACTTTTCAGATATTTATTTGTAAAAAATGTTGAAAACCATTTATCATTTTTCACTTCACAATTATGTGCTACTTTGTGTTGGTCTATCACATAAAATCCTAAATAATACATTTACATTTGTTTGTAACATGACAAAAAGTGGAAAATTTCAAGGGGTATGAATACTTTTTCAAGGCACTGTATTCCAATACATTTTCAAGCTGGCCAGCTATAATAAACGAAACCCTCTCTAGCCATGCCATATCATTTCAGCTTTATTCGGTATTGCAGCCAGAGATTTTTTTTTTTTTTATTATGATTATTTTTTTTGCTGTAAAGTGGACTTGATCTCTGTTTTGTAAGGAATATGTTTAAAAGTTAGTTGTTTAGAGAGAAAACAGGTGGCGCACACACCTAGTGCATTAGCCAAGGTTTATTGTAGGAATGGAATAATGAAAACATACTCACAGATGAAGCATGTATCTAAAAAGCATAGAAAAATGACAATGGCCACAACGGCGGGCAAGGTGTTCTCACTGTCAGTGCAGTCAAATGGCTGACGCGTTTTCGGGGACGAATCCCTTTCCTCAGAGCTGATGACCAACCTCTGATGCTGGTGTATGGACAGAAAGAGCCTCGCTGTTGATACCATATCAACAGCGAGGCTCTTTCTGTCCATACACCATACATCAGCATCAGAGGTTGGTCATCAGCTCTGAGGAAAGGGATTTGTCCCCGAAACGCGTCAGCCATTTGACCGCACTGACAGTGAGAACACCTTGCCCGCCGTTGTGGCCATTGTCATTTTTCTATGCTTTTTAGATACATGCTTCGTCTGTGAGTATGTTTTTATTATTTAATTCCTACAAGAAACCTTGGATAATGCACTAGGTGTGTGCGCCACCTGTTTTCTCTCTATCCAGTGGCTGATTTCCCCGTCTGAGGAGGGCTGCAACCCTGGAACATTTCCTTTGGTTGTCGTTGTCCTGGTACCCTTGGCTTCCCTTTTGGCTGTGCATATCCTGAGACGCTGGAGAGTACATATGATATCCGGTTCGATTAAAAGTTAGTTGTGCCTGTACAGTACTCTGAAAATTTAAAAGCTTAAAAGTCCTTGAGCGTAAAATCCCCAGTGCTTTCCCACTCCTGTGGAGCTATAGGTGCTGAGTAGAGAAATCAGTACGGCTGAATGGATTTACACGGCAAGCTTGTGTAAAACGTCAATCGGTTCTGCATTAGCATTTACCCACGTATGCATATACAACGTATCTCCCCCAAACATGAAATGGGGAGTTCATGGAAAAACAGTAGCAAACTTTTCTGGTGTCTGTGTCTAGGCACTTCTGTGTCCTCAGCCCAATAACTGTATATCTGCAGTGTGAGATCTAAGGCACTGCTGTCTCTGACTGCTAGCTTCAGATCTGATGATCACTATTGTACTGCTCACTGTTCTCTTTGCTGGAAGCTCTGACATGAGGAAGGAAGGTCCTTGATTTACCAAGATGGTTGCCTCCATACAGAGGACACATTGCAGAATGATAAGATCAGCTGCAGATTGACCACAGATAACACTTGTGAATAGTACTTTGCCCTATTTTTTTTTTTAATTTCCCCATTATACTACTGGGGTCTGCACATAGGATTTTTACAACAAAGCAGATAAAGAGAAAGGTGACTGAAAAATATTTTTTTCCATATATTTTTCAATCCATGCCCTAATTAATAAAATCTATGCACAAAACCCTTTCCCTTTGAGATCTTTATTTGGCTACTTACAAGAGATTGTTGTAACGATTAAGCACAATAGAGACATGGAAGTTGTATGCGACAGCCATCTTGTTAAGGTCTCTCAGTCATTTTGGTTTCATGAGTAGTGTTCCTATTCTTCCTCCCTCTTTGCAAACTATGGAATTTGTAGCTGTAACTTGTAAGGAACTTCAAAAGAGCCTCTTATCTTAATTAAAACACAAATAGAGGCCTGCTCCAGAGCTGACAGGATGTCTATTTTTCAGGAACCATGAAAACCACTTTCCTCTGCCATATCGTAAAACAATAACTCAGTCTAGTCGTCACACATGACTGTTAGGCCATTAGAGCTCTAGGAATGCAGAGCGTGCCATAAAACGTCTATTCCACATGTAACAATTCAACATACAATTCATAGAAGTTAACAGGAACTGGGCACATTAATATTATGTAGGACCTTGATTTGTTTGGCATGATATGCCCTATTCAAATATATACCTGACTATATTAGCACATAGTAAAGGGAAGGATGCTGTCTCTTCTATCCTGGGTGACAAGGGTATGCTGTGTTTGGTATCCCTGGGTTTGAAATATAATTCTGAATATTAATCTGCCAGTTGCAAGAATACCACCTGAGCCTATTGGAGATTATTAATATTAGTATGAAATTGTAGTTGGGACTTGGTCATAAACTTGGTGACCTCCTAGCACCCATCCCCTAAACCGGATGATTGGTCAGTTGTTCTCAGGCGACACCCCTTTAATATCATAAAAAAGGACTGACAGGCCTGGTGAAGGGGAGCTCTTGTTTAACATCAATCAAAAAACATCTTAACGGCCTTGAGAGCCAAGGCAACATTTTTGCTCGGACAATTGGACTCTTCTAAACCAGGACTTTGCAAGTATTCTGCCTTCTTAACTCCTTTGTTTTATTTCTCTGTTGCTTTATTGTTCTCTTTATGTCTTTGTAACACCTTTTTCTGTAAATATTTTAATTGCATCATTTTGCCCCTTTTTAGTAATAAACCCTATTTTGAAACTGTCTCTAAAGCTTTTAATGCAAACTAAAGAATCCCTATCTCTTGAAGAATGCTACTGTATACAATAATCCTCTGAATATTCCTGTCTGTGGTGACAGTGTGTGTTGCAGACACTTATACTAAAATCATTGTGTTATTGCTAGGATTTGTGAGTTTCCTCCTTCTCTGTAAAAAGGTGGCGGTGTGAAGGGTTACGTGTGTAATTAACCTAACCCAGTGACAATCGCTCTCAGGCTGCTGACACATAAATTGTGGTCCCACGAGCTGGAAAATATTTTTGCAGGGTGCAGCTCAGAGTGGCACTGTTATGCAAGTGACAGCACAGTGTGAGATTGGCTGGTTCTTTGTTTGTTCTTTGTTCAGACGAATGGTAAAAGCTAATGAATGGCCAAATGTGTAAATCCCAAAGCATTTCTCTGTGATAAATGACTGGGCTACAATACCTGGTTGGTGTTACTGTAGTTTTTTTTCTATATATCATGCAGAACATTTTCCTGCAAGCACTTTGTGTGGTTGTAGCAGGGTTTCTAGGCCATAGCTGCCACAAGTTAGATGTGGTTTCAGGCGGTCATACTTACAGATTGCTATTCCAGGGCTCCTATACTTTTCAGCCTTTTCTCTAACTCCCCATTGCTGTCCAGAGGTACAAGATCAGAACAGCCACCAATGCATTCCTTCTCAATAAATATCCGAGGTACCTAAAAAGTCAAAAGAAATAAGGTATTTATTTAGTTTGCTTTATGTACTGTACTTTAAAATGATTCTTTGTATTTCCACAGCTAATTAGGCTGAACTCTAGGCAGATACAAAATACACATATTAATACAGCTCTGTAATAAATTAATATATCAATAAATGTACTTAAAAAAAAACACAAGCAGTGTAAGTACCTGAATTTGCACTGGTATCAGCATCTTGTAATCCCTGTATAGCAGAGCTGAAGGGTAAGGGAAAGAAGCAGCACAAGGAACCAATCAGTTCATGTGATAAGAAGCACGCTAGTGGGAAAAGAGAGCAGTGTGTGAGATGAGCTCATCCCTGAACTACTGCTCTTTCACTGTCCAGTCACAGGCTCAGGAGGGTCCAGACTTAACTGGGCCCAGAGTAAGTGGGTTGAATGATGATGGCCTTCTAATGAGGACTTCAAGTAATGAGTAATGATAATGAGGACTTCTAGTGGTAGAAAAAAGTACTGCAGAGAAAATCTCTGTATTAAACTTGAATTATGTAGTAAAAGCTGGTTTTGTAATGACAAAATACCTTTTGATTGATACCTTTAAATTGACTATCCATTATTTAATTATTTTTGGCTGTAGTTCTTTATTAAATTAAAGCTGAACTCCAAGAAAACAGAGATACATAATTGTGAACTGTGCTGCCAAAGAATTTATCATTCTGGTCAGCCAGTCTCCAGGTACCCCAGCCATATTGCGGTAAAAAAAATTTCTCATGTGAAATGAGGAGGGAAAGGACTGTTGTCATAATATTAACTTCTGGGTCCTCTCAGCTCTCAATTCTTGCACTGCTAGATCAAGGCTGTGATAGGGACAGGTAATGAGTTGAAGTCAATGACAGAAGTATTGCCTATCCAAAATAAGGGAAAAAAAACATTTGCTTTGAGTTTAAAAGAATACCTTCACCTTTGGAACATGTTGCATGTTCCACCCATATTTAGGTTCGGGACATGTAACATGTTCCAGCTCCTGCTTCCTCCTCTCGTGCTATAGCGTGAATTCACCTGGAGTGTTCATGTCCTAATAGCTTCCATATATACAACACATGAAATACTAACGAGGAGTAACCCTTAAGGCCGGTGGGAGCTGGCACCGCGAAGATCAACCGGCGTGAGAAGGAAGACCATCTGACAGGTAAGTGCTTGGGAGAGGGAGAGGGGGATTGCGAGCGAGCCCATGGCTGGAAGCAGGGGTCTGCAAGCGTAAGTATCATTGGTGTCAGTGGGAATAGTGCCCCATTATTGGTATTTCACTAATTCCTCCCACTGGACACCAACGATGGGACACTATTCTCTCCACTGTCCACCAACGATGGGGCACTATTACTCCACAAATCCCAACGATGGGGGCACTATTCTCCCACCAAAATGCACACCATACGATGGGGCACTTATTCCTTCCCACACTGACACCATGGATGGGGCACTATTCCTCCCCACACTGACACCCAAGGATGGGGCACGATTTCCTCCCCCCACTGCGCATTCCTCCCCCCACTGACACCAAGGATATGGGGAACCAATTCCTCACCCCCACTGACACCAAGGATGGGGGCACTTATTCCTCCCCCACTGACACCAAGGATGGGGCCATCTAATTCCTCACCCCACTTGACACCAAGGATGGGGACCACTATCTCCTCCCCCACGGACACCAAGGATGGGGCACTACTGACACCTATGATGGGGCACTATTTCCTCCCCCCACTGGACAACCTATGATGGGGCACTATTCCCCCTCAATCTGACACCTATGTTGGGGCACCTATTCTCCCCCCCCACTGACACCTATGATGGGGGCACTTTTCACCCCACTGACACCAATGATGGGGCACTATTCCCCCCCTACTGACACCTTTGATGGGGCACTATTCCTCAACCACTGACACCAATTTTGATGGGGCAACTATTCATCCCACTGATCAGCCAAATGAGTGGGGCACTATTCCCTACCATCTGATACCGATGATGAGGCACTATTCATCACCACACTGTTACCAATGACGGGGCACACTATTACTCCCAATGGATACCCAAGGACGGGGGGCCAAACTTATTTTCCCACTGATACCTAATGTCGGGGCACTATTCCTACCTCCCCACTGAGTATTGGCACGTATTCCTCCTCCCTCTGACACCAAATGACGCGGGCAATATTCCTCACCTCTGACACCAATGACTCGGGGCCACTATCTCATCCCACTGAGCACCTTAGACGGAGGCATATTCCTCCCACTGACACCAATGTCGGAGGCACTAATTCATCTCCATCTTGATACCAATACGGGGCACTATTACCTACCACTCGATACCATTGACGGGGCCACTTTTACTCCCACTGATACCAATGAGAGACGAGCACCTATTCCTCCAACTGACACCTATGATGGGGCACTATTCCCCCCACTGACACCAATGAGGGGGCTCTCATTCCTCCATAAACCGGCACTATTCCTCCCTTTATTAGGACACTATTCCTCCCACTGATACTTGATGATGGGGCACTGTTCCTCCCTTTGCTTGGTAACACAAACGATGAGGGGGCACTTTTCCTCCCACTAAGTCACTATTCCTCCTCACTGACACATGACGGAGGCACTATTCCATCCCCACTGACAACAATACGGGACACTATTCACACCCCCCACTGATACCAATGATGGGGCACTATTAGCCCCCCCAATGATTACCAATGATGGTGGCACTATTCCGCCAACTCACTGACTACCAATGATCGGGCCACTATTTCCTCCCATTGATACCCAATGATGGGGACACTATTCCTTCCCACTGATACCAATTGATGGGGCACTTTTCCCCCCACATGATGGCGGCACTACTCCCATCAAATGTTGAGGCACTATTCCTCCCATATGATTCCAATGATGGAGAGCACTAAGTTCCTCCCACTGGACACCAATGATGGGACACTATTCCTCACACTGGACACCAAAATGATGGGGGGCACTATCCTCCTCCCACCAGTTACCAATGGACGGGACTCTATTCACACTCCCAGGCACTTATTCTCCCCACTGACACAATGACGGCGGCACTATTCCTCCCACTAGGCACTATTCCTCCCACTGACACCAATGAAAGGCGGCACTATCTCCTCACTACTCCCCACCGACACCATTGATAAGGGGCACTTTTCCTCCCACATGACACCAATGACGGTGGCTCTATTCCTCCCACTGCTGATTCCTCACAATGACAACAATGAGCACTATTCCTCCTACTGGCAGAAATTACAGTTATGCTAGAGTAGCAACGGAAAATAATTTTATGGTTGGGGGGGTCACCACAAGACATGAGGAACTGTATTGTCGCGGGGCGCTAGAAAGGTTGAGTACCACTGCCTTACATAAAGCAAATTCTAAGCTTTAAATTAAAGGGGGATTTATTAGTTTCACATGTTTAATAGCTGGCCAACTGATCTAAGTGAAATCTTTTTCCTCATTGTGGATGTGCATTGCTTGGACTTTGGTCTACTGCTCATTTTTTATTTTTGCTGTCTTCTGTTGGGCCCCAATATTGGCAACTCTACACACATCGGGCATCCACTTTATTTAGGTTACACTTTTTTCAATTGCTTGTAACACAAATTGCTAACCAGTCAATCCACATGGCAAAAACTCAATGCATTTAGGCATGTAGACGTGATGAAGGACAAACTTGCTGAAGTTTCAAACCGTGCATCAGAATGGGGAATACAGGGATTTAAGTGACTTTAAATGTGACATGGTTAGTTGGTGCCAGACAGGCTGGTCTGAGTATTTAAAAAACTGCTGATCTACTGGGATCTTAATGCACAACCCTCTCCAGGGTTTACAGAGAATGGTCCGAAAAATAGAAAATTCCTTGTTGATGTCAGAGGAGAATGGGTGCGCACCTGGCGATCTCCATATGCTTGGCTCTGTCCTAGGGACGCAGCTGATCACAAGATGAGGTAAAAGGCCAATCACAGTGGCCTATTACCATGTGATCAGCTGTGTCCAATGACACAGCAGATTACTGAGTAAATACAGTTCCCACTTATCGGCAGCACTTTCCTCTGTCCACAGCGTGAGGAAAGTACTGCCGATAACCAGCAGCTGTCACAGAACAGATCGGGCACTAATGATCATGTTCCCTGAAGTGCTGCCCATCAGTGCCACCCAGCAGTACAACCCACCAGTGCCACATCATCAGTGCCTGCTCATCAATGCTCACCAGTGCAGCCTCATCATTTCAGACAATCAGTGCTGCCTATCCATGCCAACTCATCAGTACCCATCAGTGCTGCCTATCAGTGCAGAGCCTCATCAACACACCTCAGTGAAGGAGAAAAAATTACCGGTTTTCAAAATTTTATATTAGAAACAATAGCAAAACTCTTTTTTTTCACATTTTTTGCTCTTTTTTTTGTTTATAGCGCAAAAACTAAAAAAAAAACACCCAGTGGCGATTAAATACCACCAAAAGAAAGCTCTATTGTGTGTGAAAAAAATGATAAAACTTTTTTCATGTGGGTACAGTGTTGCATGTCCGCGCAATTGTCAGTGCGACAGCGCTGAAAGCTGAAATTGACCTGGGCACGAAGGGGTAAAAGTGCCCAATAGGCAAGTGGCCAACTAAATTAATCCCCATATTATAAGCAAGAGTTTGCTTTATGTAAAAGTTAATAAGTGGTTTCTCCTCTTTAGCATCCCATGTGTTGTATATATATGGAAGCCATTTATGAACTGAACACCCATATCTCCAATTCCACGCAATGTGAAGGTTAGTAATTAAAAAGGGCAGTAATGCCTGTAGTTGCTATTTTTTTTTTTTTTTTTTGCTTCGACGACATACACCTAGTTTTACAAGCTAGCTCTTCTTATTTTTATTATTGTATAAAAAGCTAATTTTTTAAGTAAGTAAGGGTCGAATCTCTCAGCTTAAAAATTAAGAAAACCCCATATAGTTCCTGTTAAAACCCCA